GGTCCACTGTGTGTCCACTGTGTACCTGCTGGACTAAATATACAGTCTCTAAAACAGGATTGTGTACCTGGTCCACTGTGTACCTGGTCTACTGTATACCTGGTCCACTGTGTACCTGCTGGACTAAATATACAGTCTCTAAAACAGGATTGTGTACCTGGTCCACTGTATACCTGGTCCACTGTATACCTGCTGGACTAAATATACAGTCTCTAAAACAGGATTGTGTACCTGGTCCACTGTGTACCTGGTCCACTGTGTACCTGCTGGACTAAATATACAGTCTCTAAAACAGGATTGTGTACCTGGTCCACTGTATACCTGGTCCAATGTATACCTGGTCCACTGTATACCTGCTGGACTAGATATATAGTCTCTAAAACAGATTTTATATTTTCATATATTTTGGTATCTTAAATGTGAAAAAATATACCAAGCAACATTTTATGAAAATTTGTGCAAATTAGGCAATAAAATCTGGTATTAGAGACCGAATTTTTGGTATTTCTGTATGTTGAAGTGCATACAACTTGAATTAAAAATCACTTGTTTTCTTCTTTTAGGAAATCCAGAGATTTGGCATGGGAAAATTGATGTGCTACGGAATCATTGAGATGATATGTTGAAAATAGTCATGGAAGAAAACAGATGTTTTAGTCAACAGTCCTTGTAAATCATTTAAGGAGGCCACAAAACCGACATCGAGTACACTAAAGAAATACCTTCCTTCAGAACAACTCTTACCTTACAGGAAACACCATCATTTATTTGTACTGATGTCACATTTTGTGACCTTTAGATTTTAGACAAACATTGTTACTTTTTACATAAAGATGATATACAGTATGTAAACTACATATCGTTACAGTACATCGTCCTTTTAAACCACCTCAAGCTGAGGATATGTAAAACACCAACAACACAACAGGTCAAGGTAAGACACAACATTTCAATATAACAATATAATTAATTGTCTAAACAAAGGTTCGTATCCATTAAAAATGTTTTATCGTACATTGCCAATCAATATTGAGCTAACATAGCTTATCTAGGCGTTATATATGATGTATAAACTTTGCATTAGTTTGGTATTTATCGGGGGTCATATGTCCGTAAACTTTTAAACTTAAAAAAAAAAAACACTGAACTAATATCAATGAAATTTTACAGAAGCCATCCCTGGCCAAAGATGTGAACCAAAATAGTGAATTATATGGTCCCTGTCCCCAGGGGCCTGGGAGGCAGGGCCAAAATTTGTCAGATTTACTCAAACTTCAAAAATCTTCTATGCAAACAGATATGGTAGAATTAAAAAATGTTCGTCATGGGCAGAAGCACCTTAAGACGCTTTACCAAAATTGTGAATTTCATGACCCCGGGGTCTCACATTTCTCCGTGGGGAGGAGTAAAAATTTACTATAGTTTATATATGAAAAGCCAATTTTTGAGCATGATTTGTTTAATTTCCATTGGAAATGATTTGAATGATTTGCATATTGACACAAGCTGGCCCCCAAGTGCTCAAATGATACTGGTTAAATCTCACTATCATCGATGTCACGATTTCTTTTTCATGACAGTTGAAAACTTAAAAGCTGTTTACTCTTTAACATTCAATATAACTTAATCACGTGACCACAATGCCTTGTTTGTCTTTTTTCCCCTTCCTTTTTTTCCTACATAGAACCCAGCGTGCTTTAGTCTCCTACACCTGTCATCAGTAAAACACTTACTGAAGTCAACCCCAAGCCAGACAGTCAGCTGATTTCAGTCAAATAATGAGTTCGATGCTTAAGGGTATTCCCTTTTTCAAATCATTATATCAGATGAAAAAAATGACAATCTGACTCATTTAAATATTACGGAATATACAAAATACAACATATTGATGTTGAAGATAAAATTACCAAAACATTATATTTCCAAAAGATAAGAAAGGAACTTTAAGGAGAAGGATATAAGTAACCAATGATTTCCCGCTAAAAAGAAAAGCAGAATATTACGAATGAGGCGACAAAAAGTCTCTTTGGACAAGGCACAGTTCAAAAGGATTATAACAGTACACTTTGTAGAATAAAGGGCTTTGTGAAAGTAATACTGGCATGTCTGATTCAGCAGTGATGTTCCCTCTTTGAATACTATTACTGTCAGATTGTTTCATTGTACATGTGTGTGTTCAAGTTGATGAAAAGTTATATAAATAAAAGTCTTGTTTTCTGAGATTATTTTCTAACTTTGACTTGGTTTTAAGCTTACATGTGTAAATGTCACCAGAATCTGAATGTTATACGTTTTCACTGGATACCAGCCTTAATGGACTGGATTTAAGCGGGGAGACAATATGACTCGGGGAAATCGCCTGTCTTGTTTTGCATTCACAGTAAGCAAACCATGTATCATTGTAGTCTTTAGTATTTTACGTCATGTTTTCCTCTAAGTAATTTATTTGTGAACATTTTGGTACCAATAATGTAACAAGAGATCCCAGAGGGATCTTGGCGCCCACCATTTGAGGATCTGTTTTCAGTTCTTGAAGATTTGGTTTTTTTTTTGTTTGTTTGTTTGTTTGTTTGTTACAGGTGTTGTAAATGTTCATGAACTGGTCTTCATTAAATGTACTCAATGATGGCACAAGATATTTTTAATAAGCACCTATTAGCAAATATCATTTGAAAAAGATCCCAAAGTATTATTAGATAGCAGTCAGTTACAGGTGGATAATGGACAATATGCTTGTGCTGTATTACTGTCGACATCCAAAATGGCTGCCTGTGGGCCACCTTGATTTCAAATCAGTCCAAAAAAGGTACAATGCACAACTAGGGACCAAGGGAAACCAATATCTATGAAATATCAGAAGGATCCATCCAGTACTTCCTCAGATATAGCAGTAACAAGATTTTTTTCTCAAAATCCAAGATGGCTGCCTGTCAGCCATCTTGATTTCGGATCAGTCCAAAAAGGTATAACGCACAACTAGGAGCCAAAGGGAACCTGCATATGAAATTTGAGAAAGATCCATCCAGTACTTTCCAAGAAATAGCAGTAACAAACTTTTACATCAAAAATCCAAGCTGACCACCTGTCGGCCATCTTGAATTCGAATCAGTCCAAAAAAGGTATAATGCACAACTAGGGACCAAGGGGAACCTGCATATGAAATTTGAGAAAGATCCATCCAGTACTTTTGTATTGTTTACGGAGGGACGGACGGACGGACCACGGACGCAGGGCGATTTGAATACCCCTCCATCTCATGATGGTGGGCTAAAAATCGTACAAGGTTGGGCTGAATACCGGTCGTTGGTCCCGTTTACTAGTAAAAGTTTACCATCTAAATCATCACAAAAGTATTATTACAATGGCATGTACTTGTAGAAATACAGTAGTCGGTAACACAATTAGGAAAAATCGGTGACAGTAAACATGTATCCAACCAAATGCAACCAACCAACGCGATGTAGACCACGTGCTGGGAAGTTCCATGGATAAGGCATTGCAGAGCGGGACCTCGTACTATCAAGAATGCTAATTTTGTATATTCGTTAATAAACACGCTACATATAGTGTACCTGAATATACAGGTATACGAGAACGTCCGTGCGTGACGACGGTTATAAGATTCATTGTGAAAACTGTGTAAAACTCCAGTCAATGTTGTGATCTAGATCCAACAGAAGAGACAATCGTGTCGCGGGTCACCTCCCGTCAGTTATTCGACTTATTTGTACGCACAATCCATTTTATGAACCAACTCATAAAACCTCCCTGGATAGATCACTGCCATCGATTTAACGAATGAGCTTTCAAATGAAATCCAGAAAGACCTCGGACCACAGGGTAAACTGAATTCATTTTTAAAATTCCGATTTATATATATATTCAAGCGGCTACCGATCTTAATAACAACTACATTCTTGAATTTAAGAGAAATATTTTATCTTTCCAAGAAGTGTTTGATGAACAAGATTGGCCAAATATTGACCAGACTATGACCTGACGAATTCGGACATTTCATGTATTTACACTTTGAATAAATAAATCACATTCAATTATTTGTTTAAATCGGGGATGTATGTTATATGTCGCTGTTTATATTATCGATATGTATTTTGAGGGGTTGAATATCGGAGCGCAGCACTCAAACGTCAGATTGTAATGAATTCATTCAAAGTGGAAGACAATGAAAACAATTCAATGGATTTTTAAAGAAAATTTGAAATTTGTTTGATTTTTCGTTCTTGAGATATAGATTATTTATTATAAACCTGGATTTTGTCTTGGGGCCGAGAATAGGTACGGTGTACACCAAAGATGTCATTCTGTGTGGACACTGTCGTAGATTCTGAGATTTTTGCTTAGTTATATGTAGGTAGTTGTCAGAGACGAGAGTCCTGAGTGAAAATGGAAATGAATGTAGAATAATTTTTATTATGATCCAAAATCAAAAAGGTGAAAAGCCATATAAAATTCGGCCAGCCTAATACCGAGATATTGACGTGTAAAGTGTACGATTTTCACCTGTACTTCTACTTAAAATCGGCTGTGACGTCACAAGTTCAACGAATGGCAGCTGCCGCCATGGAGATTCTGACGATAAACAGTCATTTGCCAGAAGTGATCAATTTAAACATTTTATTGTCAACTTTAGGACAAGGGATGATGCACTAGTTATATACGTTTTATATATGGAAACAATTATTATTACGGAAATATGCATATATCGTATATCTACAATAGTTATTGCTATTCAAATCAAAACCTGTAACTAGACTTCGTGAAGGACTGCTAACTTATATGTTTTTAATAAAGGCCTACGATACGATGATGATTATCGAACAAAATCGTATCCGAATTGGGAGCAACAAAGTAGTGAAATTTATTATCGAAAGTAGACGACTCTCGGAAAAAATAGTTAAAAACGTTTTCACAAAGGATTACCACAAGTATTATTTAGATTTATTACTGAGTTAAATCAATGAAACCCTTCAGATGACTCAATGGTAAAGAAGCGTGTAGCACTGAGCACTGATGAGGAGTTTGCCGTACACGATGACTCAATGGTAACGAAGCCTGTAGCACTGAGCAGTGATGAGGAGTTTGCCGTACACGATGACTCAATGGTAACGAAGCCTGTAGCACTGAGCAGTGATGAGGAGTTTGCCGTACACGATGACTCAATGGTAACGAAGCCTGTAGCACTGAGCAGTGATGAGGAGTTTGCCGTACACGATGACTCAATGGTAACGAAGCCTGTAGCACTGAGCAGTCATGAGAGGTAAAGAAGCGTGTAGCTTTTATATTCAGTACCCGTGAATGAAACGCTAAATTATATGACGAACTTTCACAAACAATTTTTTATTATAGTTTTCTCACTCGGACACGGAAGGAGTCGCGAAGACGGAAAACCTGGCAATCAATCAATATCAATCAATCAATCAATCAATCAATCAATCAATCAATCAATCAATATGGTTTCTTGAAAATAGAAATCAATCCTGAGGTTGCATTTTTCTCCACATACATGCGATGTAATGAAGTTATTATTTAAATTTGTTGTTTACTTAAGTCTTAGAACTTAAGTGCTAAAACCATAAGCCATCTCGGTTCACACCCTTCATATGTAAATAACACCACTCTCTCTTGTGTCACGTGCTGTTAGGTGCTGTCACGGCGTGAGGCCTAATATATACATTTATACCTGTGCCCGAGGTATCAGATCAAAGACATGTCAAAGGGTGAGTAAGAAGGGTAACCTGGCCCCACTTGTATAAAACATCTCAACTTGAGATTTCCTCAAGTCGAGATTTTCCTCAGCTAATATCTCCTTGAAAATATCTTGTATGAAAATTCCTCAAGGAATTTCAGGACATCCAAGCCGATGACTTCCTCCTGTTCCTTGAGAAAATTTTATACAAGCCGTTTTTGAGGAGATATCAGCTGAGGAAAATCTCGACTTGAGGAAATCTCAAGTTGAGATGTTTTATACAAGTGGGGCCTGGACTTGAAGTTTGTTTGTGAATCGGTGTAGGTTAGGTTTCTCTCGAAGTTTCATTTTACAAGAATTTGCTCAGTCATGATCACAAGGAAATGTATAAGGACGAATTTGAAGGAGAGTATCGATGAATAAACTGCATAAGCCTGGTCAGATAGATCATTGACACCTTGCTTATCTTTTTTATACTTTAACGGACAGCTCTCCCTCTGTAAAATTCCTAAATTTGGTTGGTACAGTTAACAAGCGTTATCTTCCTAAAATCGCTGGATTGAGTGAAGCATAGAAATAACATAATGACATCCTATAACACCTCTAGTCCAAGATATCTTCTGTCACAAATACTACATACTTTTATAACTACAGATTAAAATACATGATACATAAGGATTCATCATCATTTCTAGAGTTCAAAAGGTTACGAAAAAATATAATATTTACAGTTACCAGATTCACGAATTATGAAAACGGATTTAATCTAGATAACATCCGAACGAGTGTTCAGACATTCGCATACTGTACTTCGTTTGTCTTCTCAAAATGGAACAAAATCATAATTGAAATTGTATATAACAAACAGAAGTAAGTATCAACGGAATATAAAACATCAGTAGATTAAAAGCTCGCAGATCGAACGCACGAGGGAAGTTCCCTGTATATTTCTGCAGGACTGTTTTGACGGCGTTAAACTTGTGACGTCACAGATGTAGGCTACCCATACAAGGCGATCGCCGTTGAGTCAAAAGTATGCATATAAGATAAATATCATTATCTCGGAACTAACTAGACCTTCTCACATTCTTGACCTTTGTATTATGAAACTATATACATGAATTCGTCATGTCAATACTTGGTTAATACTTGTTGATCAAAATGTTTATTGGAAAGATAGAAAATTTCTTTAAAAGGTAATGTTATGTGTTGTCAAAATCTACCGCTGCTGCTGCTGCAAAAAAAAAACAAATTTGAAAACAAAAATTTTTCACTATAATACATATATATGGATAGCGGACCGTGACAAGTTCCCATGTTATATAAAGTATAATTTGCGCAGATCATGTCTCGATACTGGGTAAAAACCTGTCCCACATACTGACATCGTACACACAAAACCGGTTTATGTCCCAGCTTTAGCAGAATATAAATCGGTCCTGACAAAGGAACGTTATCACGCGACAGACAACTTGGTGAGTAATGTTGATGCCAACCTCGTTCAAATACACGATTTCGTAACGACACAATTGTATGTTTTTAATGATATTGTTTTTAAAGAGCTCTCAAAACACAAATTTTCAAGATGAAAAGATTATTCACGTAAAACAAAATATGTCCAGGTTGTAAAAGTTCGACGTAAAACACAAAAAAAAATCCGGATTGTACAGGTCCTGAGCGTAATGTCGACATATCACGTTGGATTGTAAAGGTTCCAAGCGTAATGTCGACATATCACGTTGGATTGTAAAGGTTTGGAGCGTAATGTCGACATATCACGTTGGATTTTAAAGGTTCCGAGTGTAATGTCGACATATCACGTTGGATTTTAAAGGTTCCGAGCGTAATGTCGACATATCACGTTGGATTTTAAAGGTTCCGAGCGTAATGTCGTCATATCACGTTGGATTGTAAAGGTTCCGAGCGTAATGTCGACATGTCACGTTGGATTGTAAAGGTTCTGAGCGTAATGTCGACATGTCACGTTGGATTGTAAAGGTTCTGAGCGTAATGTCGACATATCACGCTGGATTGTAAAGGTTCCGAGTGTAATGTCGACATATCACGTTGGATTTTAAAGGTTCCGAGCGTAATGTCGACATATCACGTTGGATTTTAAAGGTTCCGAGCGTAATGTCGTCATATCACGTTGGATTGTAAAGGTTCCGAGCGTAATGTCGACATGTCACGTTGGATTGTAAAGGTTCTGAGCGTAATGTCGTCATATCACGTTGGATTTTAAAGGTTCCGAGCGTAATGTCGTCATATCACGTTGGATTGTAAAGGTTCCGAGCGTAATGTCGACATATCACGTTGGATTGTAAAGGTTCCGAGCGTAATGTCGACATGTCACGTTGGATTGTAAAGGTTCCGAGCGTAATGTCGACATGTCACGTTGGATTGTAAAGGTTCCGAGCGTAATGTCGACATGTCACGTTGGATTGTAAAGGTTCCAAGCGTAATGTCGACATATCACGTTGGATTGTAAAGGTTCCGAGCGTAATGTCGACATATCACGTTGGATCACGGAGACACGGAGATCACTGAACGCGTTTAGGGAAAAGGTGTGAATACTACCCAGATAAACTCCAGTAAACTGTAATGTTTTCTGTGCGTACGTTGTTACTTACATTTAAATGTATAAAATCCGGAAATTTCTAATATGTGTTGATATTGATTGATTGACGATTTCAAGGCCAATGAGTGGTATAATACATAAAATCATTCTTAGTTCTCTTTCCTAACTCATTTAAAAGTAAACGTTTCCTATTGCACAATACAGTTACATTTAGATTGACAGGCAGTAAGAGATGGTACTAGTACCAGGTAAGACCCTTAGTCTGCCCTTTATCTAATACTCAAGACAGTGTCACATCTGGTAATGATATAAGCTGTGTAGTGAAGACATCTGCTCTACCGAATGAGACTTTCTTCAATTCATCTGAATTTTCTTTTCATTTTTTTTCTTTGTTAATTTCAAATGCCGGATATTCAATTTTTATTAGCTAATACAGATTTTAATGCCTCGATACCGACGTTCGGGTTTACGTTCTTAATACGGTAATATTAAAACTTTAATCTGTTTAAAATCGTACTTTGATAACAGTGTCTCATCTACATCATTTCTATGTCTGTAATCATAACCGATGTTTTATTACTCAATTTGGACTATGATATGTGGCACGCAAATAAAAAAAATAGTGTATTGTATTATATTGGTAAGACAAGTTAAGTTCTACAGAGCAGAATTACTTATAATATTGACGACTGTAAAACTTTCCAATAAACTTGATCAAGCCTATGTTGTGAGTTCATCTGTCATTCCCGTTTCATTGTTGAAAATTGACTCCAATTCACGAAGTTCTACATCGGAATATGTAGCACATCCTCATTGAAAAGCGAGAAGAAATAAACAACACAATAAAGTTCCCCGTATTATATTTGGTATTGAACATCAACGACACCTCTTAACCGATGCATTAGTGGAACTTGCATGTACAATGTAAGCCTCGTGACCCTAACCGCTATACCGTAGTCTGTATCTCTGAAGATCGATCGTTGTAGTGTGGGACGTACACCACGGAATATGTGAGAATTATTTAGCTTTCTAATATTTTTTACTTCGAAAATACCAGTTTTGTACTTTTAGAGAAAAATGGTTTATGAACAGCACGGCTAGTTATCTTGAATGTATTCGCTATAGTGTTACAAAAGAGATTAAAGAAGTTTTTTTCTAAACACAGGAATCTGTCACGGTTGACTGCACAGCTTAGCATTGTGGGTAACATTGTACTTAAAATAGCTTTATTTCACAATACCAAACGGTTATCATACACGGCGATGATAAAAGGCTGACCACAATTGGTGTGAGTACCGCAAGGGTGTTCTTCGTAAGGACTGCGCTTCGTTGAGAACGGTATGTGATTTTCACTTCTTTTGTCATTAGTTCAAAGTGATGACATTTGCAAACGCCTCATGTGGCACGCTTAATTGACATCGTAACTTGCTCTTTGATTGAAACAACATTTCCTAAAAGTGTAAAACATGTTTTATATATCTGTTGATCATGTGTTTTGATCGTCTCAATACATGTACCCGCTATTTATCCCTAGAGATATCTAAAACCTATTGTAAACACTCCCGTTCATTTCGTGGCTCAGCCCAAACGTTACTCCCGTGATCTATAAGCGATATTTGTTCGATACACACCTACATGTATGAGTGTAGGAAGATACAATGTTTTATTCAATCGCTCTAACACACATTGTATAGTTAACATGAGACATGGCGCGTGACAATAATACATAATTACAACATTTTATATAATTAGTGATAAGTTACATAACTGCGTAATTATGCAGAGAAGGAGTACAGCCAAATATTAACTCAATACTTTTTCAAGCTTTTCTATAAATCTACAAATTTTTGTGAAGATTTCTACATTGAATGTATCCAACAAACTTTGCATTTTGATTTGACCCGAAAGTAAAGTAATATTTGGGTATGTATTTCTGTCTATATGATTTATTGATTCGTTTTGGATTTGAAGAAAGAAACTTATACATAATTTCCCTATCTTTAAGCTTTATTAATTAATTAATTTCTTGTTCAAATTTTGTCTTTTGTCATTTCCGTAAAAATTGATCTTTCCGTCTATTTTCCACCAGTACCTTTAATTTCGTCTTTAGAAAAGGAGCATGTAGATTGAAAGTACCAGACATGATTAAAGCCAGTTTGGAATAGAATATTTTTAACATTTGTGACCCATAGTTCCAGTACCTTGTAACGTATACACTAACTTATAGGTAGTACTTGATAACTTATTAGAGGTAATCAACTTATACCAGAATACTATTATTCTACATTCAATTTCAAGGTCTAGTGAGTATCTTCCCAGAGTTGTTTGTCCTGAGCTCAAGCATATGATTACAAAATATCTTCCCGCAGTCATCTCCGCCTATTCTGGATTCACATCTGTAGTAACAATGCTACACCATACTTTACATCTGTGGTGTCCGAGCACAACAATGCTACTAACCCACATCTGTGAGTAACAGTGTAACAAGCTACACCCACATCTGTTGTAACAATGCATTACACCTACATCTGTAGTAACAATGCTATACCTACATCTGTTGTAACAATGCTTTTGTCTACACCTACATCTGTTGTAACAATGCTACACCTACATCTGTAGTAACAATGCTACACCCACATCTGTTGTAACAATGCTACACCTACATCATCAATGCTACACCTACATCTTGTAACAATGCTACACCTACATCAGTAACAATGCTACACCCACATCTGTTGTAACAATGCTACACCCACATCTGTAGTAACAATGCTACACCCACATCTGTTGTAACAATGCTTTCGTCATTACACCTACATCTGTAGTAACAATGCTACACCTACATCTGTAGTAACAATACTACACCCACATCTGTAGTAACAATGCTACACCCACATCTGTTGTAACAATGCTACACCCACATCTGTAGTAACAATGCTACACCCACATCTGTTGTAACAATGCTACACCCACATCTGTAGTAACAATGCTACACCCACATCTGTTGTAACAATGCTACACCCACATCTGTAGTAACAAAGCTACACCTACATCTGTTGTAACAATGCTACACCTACATCTGTTGTAACAATGCTACACCTACATCTGTAGTAACAATGCTACACCTACATCTGTTGTAACAATGCTTTCGTCATTACACCTACATCTGTAGTAACAATGCTACACCTACATCTGTTGTAACAATGCTACACCCACATCTGTAGTAACAAAGCTACACCCACATCTGTTGTAACAATGCTACACCCACATCTGTAGTAACAATGCTACACCCACATCTGTAGTAACAATGCTACACCCACATCTGTTGTAACAATGCTACACCCACATCTGTAGTAACAATGCTACACCCACATCTAGTAACAATGCTAACCCACATCTGTTGTAACAATGCTTTACACACCTACATCTGTAACAATGTAACAATGCTACACACATCTGTTGTAACAATGCTTTGTCATTACACCTACATCTGTGTAACAATGCTACACCTACATCTGTTGTAACAATGTCATTACACCTACATCTGTTGTAACAATGCTACACCTACATCTGTTGTAACAATGCTACACCCACATCTGTTGTAACAATGCTACACCTACATCTGTTGTAACAATGCTACACCTACATCTGTTGTAACAATGCTTTCGTCATTTCACCTACATCTGTTGTAACAATGCTACACCTACATCTGTTGTAACAATGCTACACCCACATCTGTTGTAACAATGCTACACCTACATCTGTTGTACAATGCTACACCTACATCTGTTGTAACAATGCTACACCCACATCTGTTGTAACAATGCTTTCGTCATTACACCTACATCTGTAGTAACAATTCTATACCTACATCTGTTGTAACAATGCTTTTGTCATTACACCTACATCTGTTGTAACAATGCTACACCTACATCTGTTGTAACAATGCTACACCCACATCTGTTGTAACAATGCTACACCCACATCTGTAGTAACAATGCTACACCCACATCTGTTGTAACAATGCTTTCGTCATTACACCTACATCTGTAGTAACAATGCTACACCTACATCTGTAGTAACAATGCTACACCCACATCTGTTGTAACAATGCTACACCCACATCTGTTGTAACAATGCTACACCCACATCTGTAGTAACAATGCTTTGTCATTACACCTACATCTGTTGTAACAATGCTACACCTACATCTGTTGTAACAATGCTACACCCACATCTGTTGTAACAATGCTACACCTACATCTGTTGTAACAATGCTACACCGGCATCTGTTGTAACAATGCTACACCTACATCTGTTGTAACAATGCTTTCGTCATTACACCTACATCTGTAGTAACAATGCTACACCTACATCTGTAGTAACAATGCTACACCCACATCTGTTGTAACAATGCTTTCGTCATTACACCTACATCTGTAGTAACAATTCTATACCTACATCTGTTGTAACAATGCTTTTGTCATTACACCTACATCTGTTGTAACAATGCTACACCTACATCTGTTGTAACAATGCTACACCCACATCTGTTGTAACAATGCTACACCTACATCTGTTGTAACAATGCTACACCTACATGTGTTGTAACAATGCTTTCGTCATTTCACCTACATCTGTTGTAACAATGCTACACCTACATCTGTTGTAACAATGCTACACCTACATCTGTAGTAACAATGCTACACCCACATCTGTTGTAACAATGCTACACCCACATCTGTAGTAACAATGCTACACCCACATCTGTTGTAACAATGCTTTCGTCATTACACCTACATCTGTAGTAACAATGCTACACCTACATCTGTTGTAACAATGCTACACCTACATCTGTTGTAACAATGCTTTCGTCATTACACCCACATCTGTTGTAACAATGCTACACCTACATCTGTTGTAACAATGCTACACCTACATGTGTTGTAACAATGCTTTCGTCATTTCACCTACATCTGTTGTAACAATGCTTTCGTCATTTCACCTACATCTGTTGTAACAAAGCTTTAGTCATGACACCTACATCTGTTGTAACAATGCTACACCGGCATCTGTTGTAACAATGCTACACCTACATCTGTTGTAACAATGCTACACCGGCATCTGTTGTAACAATGCTACACCTACATCTGTTGTAACAATGCTTTCGTCATTACACCTACATGCGTTGTAACAATGATTTCGTCATTTCACCTACATCTGTTGTAACAATGAGCTGAAGGTTCCTGTTGTTTTTATTACGTGACGTCATAGTGATGTTACAGAATAATAAACTATAGAGTGAAATAGATCCAAAGTTATTTACATACGGTTGAAAATATCTGATCTTGGATACTACTAAGTCTATAGCCAATGTAATTTAATAATATACAATATGTAATACAACTTCGAAAATGAAATTTTCAGCCACTTCCTGTCGGATATCTGGAAATGATGAAGGCTTTGCAGACTTTGCTCGTGTTGACAATTCTTGCTCCTTGGTGTGTCGTGGGTTACTCGTCCTTTCAGTCACTTATTCCGAATGGAAATGCTGTCCGTGACCCTTGTGATCAAGCGACACTGTGGGCGGGGGTTGGCCATCAGGCTATGGGCGGTTCCGGACTTAGAAATCCTTTTGGCGTCGACTTTAACAACAATGGCAAGGTATTTATATATATATCAGTGTTTTATTATGTTATTTTTGTTTTCAAGATTTTTTAGTTTATTTCTTTCTTGTTAAACTATATTTTGTTCATGTATCTGTATCTATTACATAGGTTGTATGATGCTGATGCTTTCCTAGTAATGTTGGTTTATATAATTGACCTAAGGTCAATAAGGGCATGATTAGTATTGGATAAGAAGACGTGTATATCTATCGGTTTTTAGGAAGAGGCAGATGGCGAATCTATGAAACTGAATTGAACCGTACGGTATACTAATTCTTTAAAACACAAAACAATGTTATTATACCCACAACATAACTACCCTGTTATCAGTGTAATAACATCCATAACATAACGACCCTGTTAACAGTGTAATAATGCCCATTACATAACTACCTTGTTAACAGTGTAATAAAACCCATTACATAACTACCCTGTTATCAGTGTAATAATACCCATTACATAACTACCCTGTTAACAGTGTGATAATACCCATTACATAACTACCCTGTTAACAGTGTAATGATACCCATTACATAACTACCCTGTTAACAGTGTAATAATACCCATTACATAACTACCTTAACAGTGTAGTAACATCCATTACATAACCACCCTGTTATCAGTGTAGTTACATCCATTACATAGCCACCCTGTTATCAGTGTAATAACACCTATAACATAACTACCCTGTTATCAGTGTAATAACATCCATAACATAACGACCCTGTTAACAGTGTGATAATACCCATTACATAACTACCCTGTTAACAGTGTAATGATACCCATTACATAACTACCCTGTTATCAGTGTAATAACACCCATTACATAACTACCTTAACAGTGTAGTAACATCCATTACATAACTACCTTGTTAACAGTGTAATGATACCCATTACCACAGTAAAATAACTAACGACTGTGGAAGAAATACCAAATATACATGTTGACACACCACAATCAAAGCGTTATTCCGACTATGAATTGACCTGTTCTGTACCCATTTGTGAATATGTTATCTTCAAGGCAATAAATTGATAGAAATATATACAATATAACGTGTATTTTAGCTGTTCGCAGCAATCTTGCGTTACTGATTAATTGTTAATGATTGATTAGCGGTAGAATAATACTCAGCAATGTCCATAGAAATAATCCTACAAGGCAACATTTAAATATTAAAATGACAGACTTGAAATCGGCGTGTATTGGGAAATCTCTCATTTAATGAAACGTTACTGAACATACATGTTCATGTATAATGAGTCCTGCTGAATGTGGCCAGTATGTTTCTTGAATATACATTTTCTTTAACAAGTACATGTACGTCTTAGATATAGCAAAAGCTGGTTCTTTTTCACGATGACATAGCAAACTACATTCACACGTGTGATACAACTGCCAGACTTTCTGTATCTCCAGATTGTATTTCCTTTTTCAGATTTAAGCAAAGATGGTTGTGTATATATGTCTCAATGTAAACAATTTCATTGCCTTATACATCTGTGTCCTTTCGTGTTCATTCGACCATAAACGCAATAAAAATACTATTCAAGTTCTATGTGAGAGAGGGTTGTACACAATTGAAGGTGTTCACTACAGGTTATATAATATGAAAATTACGAAACTTATGGAATAAATTAGTACATCTTTCGATCTAGGTAATTTTTATATACTTTTTAATCAATTTGAGTTTAACACAATCGTTTTTAAGTCTTTGAAAATAAGGACCGTATCACCAATGCCCTTGAAGGGAGAAACAGCTGTATGATACAATTAGATCTATTGTTTTTGCTCTTCCTTTCTCTGTATTTCTCTGTCTTTCTCTAACTGTATTGTATTTCTCTGTATTTCTCTGTCTTTCTCTAACTGTATTGTATTTCTCTGTCTTTCTCTGTCTTTCTCTAACTGTATTGTATTTCTCTGTCTTTCTCTGTCTTTCTCTAACTGTATTGTATTTCTCTAACTGTATTGTATTTCTCTGTCTTTCTCTAACTGTATTGTATTTCTCTGTATTTCTCTGTCTTTCTCTAACTGTATTGTATTTCTCTGTCTTTCTCTAACTGTATTGTATTTCTCTGTATTTCTCTGTCTTTCTCTAACTGTATTGTATTTCTCTGTAACTGTATTGTATTTCTCTGTCTTTCTCTAACTGTATTGTATTTCTCTGTCTTTCTCTAACTGTATTGTATTTCTCTGTCTTTCTCTAACTGTATTGTATTTCTCTGTCTTTCTCTAACTGTATTGTATTTCTCTGTCTTTCTCTAACTGTATTGTATTTCTCTGTCTTTCTCTAACTGTATTGTATTTCTCTGTATTTCTCTGTCTTTCTCTAACTGTATTGTATTTCTCTGTCTTTCTCTGTCTTTCTCTAACTGTATTGTATTTCTCTGTCTTTCTCTAACTGTATTGTATTTCTCTGTCTTTCTCTAACTGTATTGTATTTCTCTGTCTTTCTCTAACTGTATTGTATTTCTCTGTCTTTCTTCTCTGTCTTTCTCTAACTGTATTGTATTTCTCTGTCTTTCTCTGTCTTTCTCTAACTGTATTGTATTTCTCTAACTGTATTGTATTTCTCTGTCTTTCTCTAACTGTATTGTATTTCTCTGTATTTCTCTGTCTTTCTCTAACTGTATTGTATTTCTCTGTCTTTCTCTAACTGTATTGTATTTCTCTGTCTTTCTCTAACTGTATTGTATTTCTCTGTATTTCTCTGTCTTTCTCTAACTGTATTGTATTTCTCTGTCTTTCTCTAACTGTATTGTATTTCTAACTGTATTGTATTTCTCTGTATTTCTCTGTCTTTCTCTAACTGTATTGTATTTCTCTGTCTTTCTCTAACTGTATTGTATTTCTCTGTATTTCTCTGTCTTTCTCTAACTGTATTGTATTTCTCTGTCTTTCTCTAACTGTATTGTATTTCTCTGTATTTCTCTGTCTTCTTTCTGTACTGTATTGTATTTCTCTGTCTTTCTCTAACTGTATTGTATTTCTCTGTATTTCTCTGTCTTTCTCTAACTGTATTGTATTTCTCTGTCTTTCTCTAACTGTATTGTATTTCTCTGTATTTCTCTGTCTTTCTCTAACTGTATTGTATTTCTCTGTCTTTCTCTAACTGTATTGTATTTCTCTGTCTTTCTCTAACTGTATTGTATTTCTCTAACTGTATTGTATTTCTCTGTCTTACTCTAACTGTATTGTATTTCTCTGTATTTCTCTGTATTTCTCTGTCTTTCTCTAACTGTATTGTATTTCTCTGTCTTTCTCTAACTGTATTGTATTTCTCTGTATTTCTCTGTCTTTCTCTAACTGTATTGTATTTCTCTGTCTTTCTCTAACTGTATTGTATTTCTCTGTCTTTCTCTAACTTTATTGTATTTTTCTGCCTTCATTTAAATTTATTGGTATTAAGAGTTCGTAATCACTATTGTGTCATTTGTACTATCTCATTAGCAAAGAACATGTCATGTATAACCAAATGTAGATATAATATCTTCTATAACTACAACATATTGTTGAACATGTTTTTCTTAATTTTTCAATCCGTCAAAACCAGGTGTGGAACCGGACATTGTGTGAAAAGGACTCGGATGGCGATGGAGCCAGTAATGGAGCAGAGCTTGGCGATCCCGACTGTTCGTGGACCCCGGGAACAACCCCGTCTGGTCCGCCAACTGGACATCCAGGTAGGTTGTATAGGATTCCTGCGTGTATAACATCTATGACAAGAAATCGTCGAGGGATGTCAGTAAATTGATACGAAGAAAAGTTAAATATCAAGAATGTCGGATTTACAAAGTGCACGTGAGTGGTTATTTGAAATTATGTATGAGGATGAAAGTTACAATAACACAGAGAAAACGTAGTAAGGAGTGTGACTGTTGTAATGGATGTTATTTCACAACGCCTCTAATGAATTATTAAAAACAAAGAAAAAAAAGAAAACTGCAGTCGGCCTCAAAATCTAGGTGAATGATTCCTATTTACTGTCTGATTTTGGGGGAAAATCGTCGAAAGTTGAAACCATCATAATATTAAAATTTGTGCAGTATTAAAACCCAGATGTTGTGACAGACTACATCGTCAGGTTGTGACAGACCGTTGTGATGCTGTGACAGACCGTTGTGATGCTGTGACAGACTGTTGTGATGTTGTGACAGACTATGTTGTGATGTTATGACGGACTATGTTGTGATGTTGTGACAGACTATGTTGTGATGTTGTGACAGACTTGTGATGTTGTGACAGACTGTTGTGATGTTGTGACAGACTGTTGTGATGTTGTGGCAGACTATGTTGTGATGTTGTGACAGACAATGTTGTGATGTTGTGACGGACTGTTGTGATGTTGTGACAGACTGTTGTGATGTTGTGACAGACAACGTGGTGATGTTGTGACAGACAATGTTGTGATGTTGTGACAGACTGTTGTGATGTTGTGACGGACTATGTTGTGATAGACAATGTTGTGATGTTGTTACAGACTATGTTGTGATGTTGTGACAGACAATGTTGTGATGTTGTGACAGACTATGGTGTTATGTTGTGACAGACAATGTGGTGATGTTGTTACATACAATGTGGTGATGTTGTGACAGACTTGTCATGTTGTGACGGACAATGTTGTGATGTAGTTACAGACAATGTTGTGATGTTGTGACGGACTATGTTGTGATAGACAATGTTGTGATGTTGTGACAGACTGTTGTGATGTTGTGACAGACAATGTTGTGATGTTGTGTCAGACTATGTTGTGATGCTGTGTCAGACTGTTGTGACGGACAATGTTGTGACAGACAATGTTGTGATGTTGTGACAGACAATGTGGTGATGGTGTGACAGACTTGTCATGTTGTGACGGACAATGTTGTGATGTAATTACAGACAATGTTGTGATGTTGTGACAGACTATGTTGTGATGTTGTGACAGACTGCTGTAATGTTGTGACAGACAATGTCGTGATGTTGTTACAGACTACGTTGTGATGTTGTGACAGACAATGTTGTGATGTTGTTACAGACTATGTTGTGATGTTGTGACAGACAATGTTATGATGGTGTGACAGACTTGTGATGTTTTGACAGACAATGTTGTGATGTTGTGACAGACTGCTGTTATGTAGTGACAGACAATGTTGTGATGTTGTTACAGACTATGTTGTGATGTTGTGACAGACAATGTGGTGATGTTGTGACAGACAATGTTGTGATGTTGTGACAGACAATGTGGTGATGTTGTGACAGACTTGTGATGTTGTGACAGACAATGTTGTGATGTTGTGACAGACAATGTTGTGATGTTGTGACAGACAATGTTGTGATGTTGTGACAGACAATGTTGTGATGTTGTGACAGACAATGTTGTGATGTTGTGACAGACTATGTTGTGATGTTGTGACAGACAAAGTGGTGATGGTGTGACAGACTTGTGATGTTGTGACAGACAATGTTTTGATGTTGTGACAGACTTGTGATGTTGTGACGGACAATGTTGTGATGTTGTGACAGACAATGTTGTGATGTTGTGACAGACAATGTTGTGATGTTGTGACAGACAATGTTGTGATGTTGTGACAGACAATGTTGTGATGTTGTGACAGACTATGTTGTGATGTTGTTACAGACTATGTTGTGATGTTGTGACAGACAATGTGGTGATGGTGTGACAGACTTGTGATGTTGTGACAGACAATGTTTTGATGTTGTGACAGACAATGTTGTGATGTTGTGACAGACTTGTGATGTTGTGACGGACAATGTTGTGATGTTGTGACAGACAATGTTGTGATGTTGTGACAGACAATGTGATGTTGTGACAGACTGACAATGTTGTGATGTTGATGACAGACAATGTTGTGATGTTGTGACAGACATGTTGTGATGTTGTGACAGACAATGTTGTGATGTTGTGACAGACAATGTTGTGATGTTGTGACAGACAATGTTTTGATGTTGTGACAGACTATGTTGTGATGTTGTGACAGACAATGTGGGGATGTTGTGACTGACTTGTGATGTTGTGACGGACAATATTGTGATGTAGTTACAGACAATGTTGTGATGTTGTGACAGACAATGTGGTGATGTTGTGACAGACAATGTTGTGATGTTGTGACAGACAATGTGGTGATGTTGTGACAGACTTGTGATGTTGTGATGTTGTGACAGACAATGTTGTGATGTTGTGACAGACAATGTTGTGATGTTGTGACAGATGTTGTGAGACATGTTGTGACAGACAATGTTGTGATGTTGTGACAGACAATGTTGTGATGTTGTGACAGACAATGTTGTGATGTTGTGACAGACAATGTTGTGATGTTGTGACAGACAATGTTGTGATGTTGTGACAGACAGATGTTGTGATGTTGTGACAGACAATGTTGTGATGTTGTGACAGACAATGTTGTGATGTTGTGACAGACAATGTTGTGATGTTGTGACAGACAATGTTGTGATGTTGTGACAGACAATGTTGTGATGTTGTGACAGACAATGTTGTGATGTTGTGACAGACAATGTTGTGATGTTGTGACAGACAATGTTGTGATGTTGTGACAGACAGACAGACAATGTTGTGATGTTGTGACAGATGTGATGTTGACAGACATGTTGTGATGTTGTGATGTTGTGACAGACAATGTTGTGATGTTGTGACAGACAATGTTGTGATGTTGTGACAGACTTGTGATGTTGTGACAGACAATGTTGTGATGTGGTGACAGACAATGTTGTGATGTTGTGATGTTGTGACAGACAATGTTGTGATGTTGTGACAGACAATGTTGTGATGTTGTGATGATGTTGTGACAGACAATGACAGACAATGTTGTGATGTTGTGATGTTGTGACAGACAATGTTGTGATGTTGTGACAGACAATGTTGTGATGTTGTGACAGACAATGTTGTGATGTTGTGACAGACAATGTTGTGATGTTGTACAGACAATGTTGTGATGTGATGTTGTGACAGACAATGTTGTGATGTTGTGACAGACAATGTTGTGATGTTGTGACATGTTGTGACAGAATGTTGTGATGTTGGACAATGTTTGTGATGTTGTGACAGATGTTGTGATGTTGTGATGTGATGTTGTGACAGACAATGTTGTGATGTTGTGACAGACTTGTGATGTTGTGACGGACTATGTTGTGATGTTGTGACAGACAATATTGTGATGTTGTGACAGACAATGTTGTGATGTTGTGACAGACAATGTGGTGATGTTGTAACAGACAATGTTGTGATGTTGTGACAGACAATGTTGTGATGTTGTGACAGACAATGTGGTGATGGTGTGACAGACTTGTCATGTTGTGACGGACAATGTTGTGATGTTGTGACAGACAATGTTGTGATGTTGTGACAGACAATGTTGTGATGTTGTGACAGACAATGTTGTGATGTTGTGACAGACAATGTTGTGATGTTGTGACAGACAATGTTGTGATGTTGTGACAGACAATGTTGTGATGTTGTGACAGACAATGTTGTGATGTTGTGACAGACAATGTTGTGATGTTGTGACAGACAATGTTGTGATGTTGTGACAGACAATGTTGTGATGTTGTGACAGACAATGTTGTGATGTTGTGACAGACTTGTGATGTTGTGACGGACAATGTTGTGATGTTGTGACAGACAATGTTGTGATGTTGTGACAGACAATGTTGTGATGTTGTGACAGACAATGTTGTGATGTTGTGACAGACAATGTTGTGATGTTGTGACAATGTTGTGATGTTGTGACAGACTTGTGATGTTGTGACAGACAATGTTGTGATGTTGTGACAGACAATGTTGTGATGTTGTGACAGACTTGTGATGTTGTGACGGACAATGTTGTGATGTTGTGACAGACAATGTTGTGATGTTGTGACAGACAATGTTGTGATGTTGTGACAGACAATGTGGTGATGTTGTGACTTGTGAGACAGACAATGTTGTGATGTTGTGACAGACAATGTTTTGATGTTGTGACAGACTATGTTGTGATGTTGTGACAGACAATGTGGGGATGTTGTGATGTTGTGATGTTGTGACAGACAATGTTGTGATGTTGTGACAGACAATGTGGTGATGTTGTGACAGACTTGTGATGTTGTGACAGACAATGTTGTGATGTTGTGACAGACTTGTGATGTTGTGACAGACTATGTTGTGATGTTGTGACAGACTATGTTGTGATGTTGTAACGGACTATGTTGTGATGGTGTGACAGACAATGTTGTGATGGTGTTGGTATATTTTTATTACAGGTTTGTGTGAGCCTTGGAGTGATCCAGTGTGTTTGCTGGCAAATACGTTCCATACTTGTCAGACACAAGACTTTCAGTGTGACCCTATCAACAGTCCAGGTAAGGATTAAAAATGGCGTTTTATTTATAACCAATATCAAAGCGACATTTCCATATTTCCCAAGTCATTCAGCGGATATATGTAGAAACTTTATACATCAGATACAACTTAAAACGGTATACATAAAGCGCCTCATCGAATGACTTGTAGACTACCCAGTTGTATCATTTATATTTAAACAGACATGACTTCCCTGTTATCAGTGTAATAACACCCATTACATAACCACCCTGTTATCAGTGTTATAACACCCATTACATAACCACCCTGTTAACAGTGTAATAACACCCATTACATAACCACCCTGTTATCAGTGTAATAACACCCATTACATAACCACCCTGTTATCAGTGTAATAACACCCATTACATAACCACCCTGTTATCAGTGTAATAACACCCATTACATAACCACCCTGTTATCAGTGTAATAACACCCATTACATAACCACCCTGTTATCAGTGTAATAACACCCATTACATAACTACCTTGTTATCAGTGTAATAACACCCATTACATAACCACCCTGTTATCAGTGTAATAACACCCATTACATAACCACCCTGTTATCAGTGTAATAACACCCATAACATAACTACCCTGTTATCAGTGTAATAACACCCATTACATAACTACCTTGTTATCAGTGTAATAACACCCATTACATAACCACCCTGTTATCAGTGTAATAACACCCATTACATAACCACCCTGTTATCAGTGTTATAACACCCATTACATAACCACCCTGTTATCAGTGTAATAACACCCATTACATAACTACCTTGTTATCAGTGTAATAACACCCATTACATAACCACCCTGTTATCAGTGTAATAACACCCATTACATAACCACCCTGTTATCAGTGTAATAACACCCATAACATAACTACCTTGTTATCAGTGTAATAACACCCATTACATAACCACCCTGTTATCAGTGTAATAACACCCATTACATAACCACCCTGTTATCAGTGTAATAACACCCATTACATAACCACCCTGTTATCAGTGTAATAATACCCATAACATAACTACCCTGTTAACAGTGTAATGATACCCATAACATAACTACCCTGTTATCAGTGTAATAACACCCATTACATAACTACCCTGTTAACAGTGTAATAACACCCATTACATAACTACCCTGTTATCAGTGTAATAATACCCATAACATAACTACCCTGTTATCAGTGTAATAACACCCATTACATAACTACCTTGTTAACAGTGTAATGATACCCATAACATAACTACCCTGTTATCAGTGTAATAACACCTATAACATAACTACCCTGTTATCAGTGTAATAATACCTATAACATAACTACCCTGTTAACAGTGTAATAACACCCATTACATAACTACCCTGTTATCAGTGTAATGATACCCATAACATAACTACCCTGTTATCAGTGTAATAACACCCATTACATAACTACCTTGTTAACAGTGTAATAACACCCATTACATAACTACCTTAACAGTGTAGTAACATCCATTACATAACTACCTTGTTAACAGTGTAATGATACCCATTACCACAGTAAAATAACTAACGACTGTGGAAGAAAGACCAAATATACATGTTGACACACCACAATCAAAGCGTTATTCCGACAATGAATTGACCTGTTCTGTACCCATTTGTGAATATGTTATCTTCAAGGCAATAAATTGATAGAAATATATACAATAATCAAATACCGTATTCCAGTAACAATCGTGGTTACTTATTGCGCGCTCTAATTTCCGAGAATACGTGAAACACTCGTGTATTCGACACATGCACTGTTGACACAAATGTACAAATGATATGATAATTAAATATAGATAAATTTTAAGAAATGCTAGATAACTATGTGAAAAAATTAAAATAACAAAAGAAGACGTTACATATATATTGCAGACGTGATGGACTTTGCCGTTAGATTTCCATCAACGGCTGTTCCTGCCGACGAGACAACTTACATGTGCATGAATTTTGCCTTACCGTCTGACAGGGACTATCACGTGATAGCTGATAGAGGCTTAATTGACAACGAATACGTCATGCATCATATTCTAATCTACGGATGTCCGAAGGAAGGTTGGTATTTGTGTTTATGATGTTAAATATTTTAATATGTCTCTGGCTGTAGATTGCTCCTATCTCATCATACTATTTAAGGATATTTGTACTTTTTGGCATTCAATTACTTATTTTTTGTCAGTGTTATGTTTGTATGTGTGTGTGTGGGAAGGGTGTGTGTCTGGGTGCGTGCTGTGGTGTATGTATGTGGGAAGGGTGTGTGTGGTGAAAGGTGTGTGTGGGAAGGGTGTGTGTATGGATGCGTGCTGTGGTGTATGTGTGTGTGGGAAGGGTGTGTGTGGGAAGGGTGTGTGTATGGGTGCTTGCGATGGTGTACGTGTGTGTGTATAGATGTGTGTGGGAAGGGTGTGTGTCTGGGTGCGTGCTGTGGTGTATGTATGTGGGAAGGGTGTGTGTGGTGAAAGGTGTGTGTGGGAAGGGTGTGTGTATGGATGCGTGCTGTGGTGTATGTGTGTGTGGGAAGGGTGTGTGTGGGAAGGGTGTGTGTATGGGTGCGTGCTGTGGTGTATGTGTGTGGATGGGTGTGTGTGGTGAAAGGTGTATGTGGGAAGGGTGTGTGTATGGGTGCGTGCGGTGGTGTTCGTGTATGTATATATTCACATACAGCACGGACCAACTGTTCATTCTTACAATTCCTCTCGACGGTAATATATGTCTAGTGCACGATCCACTAATCAATTTACTGTGGATGTTCCTGTAAAGTATTCTATGTTTGTAAGTTTTAAAGTGTATAATTTAAAACATATTAATCAGGTGTTATCTCATAGCGTGAGCGATGTGTGGACGATTATGTATGTTTAATTGGTTCGTATGTTCGTTAGGCTACGACAAAGAATGAACGAATATCCAAAAAAAATATTGAGTTGACTAATGGTTTGGTATAGTTGTTACTAGTTTTCAAAAATATTATTTCAACCAATGAAAATAATATCAGTTATTAACAGAACATTATCTTATATTAATATAACACAGTATTGTGTTTAAATATCAATATTCTGTCATCTACAAATGTGTAGCCACTGAACATTCTCCACAATATTGCTGCGTCCCTGGTCTGTTCAGTACATGGAAGTATCCTGTTTTTGACCCTCTTCTCTTTGTAGTTGAACGTTCTGATTTGGTTAATGATTTGAACACCCCCTACCCATGCGGGATGGCAGGAGAAGTACGCTGTCAGGAAATCATTGCTCTATGGAGTGTCGGCATTCCCGGTTTTTGTCATAACGAAAATGCCGGATTCAGGATAGGGCCCAATGGCTACAGATATGCTTCAATGCAGGTAATTACATACGTCGAAACCGGATTCACGTTTGGGCCCAGTGGCTACAGATATGCTTCAATGCAGGTAATTACATACGTAGAAACCGGATTCACGTTTGGGCCCAGTGGCTACAGATATGCTTCAATGCAGGTAATTACATACGTCAAAACCGGATTCACGTTTGGGCCCAGTGGCTACAGATATGCTTCAATGCAGGTAATTACATACGTAGAAACCGGATTCACGTTTGGGCCCAGTGGCTACAGATATGCTTCAATGCAGGTAATTACATACGTAGAAACCGGATTCACGTTTGGGCCCAGTGGCTACAGATATGCTTCAATGCAGGTAATTACATACGTAGAAACCGGATTCACGTTTGGGCCCAGTGGCTACAGATATGCTTCAATGCAGGTAATTACATACGTAGAAACCGGATTCACGTTTGGGCCCAGTGGCTACAGATATGCTTCAATGCAGGTAATTACATACGTAGAAACCGGATTCACGTTTGGGCCCAGTGGCTACAGATATGCTTCAATGCAGGTAATTACATACGTAGAAACCGGATTCACGTTTGGGCCCAGTGGCTACAGATATGCTTCAATGCATGTAATTACATACGTAGAAACCGGATTCACGTTTGGGCCCAGTGGCTACAGATATGCTTCAATGCATGTAATTACATACGTAGAAACCGGATTCACGTTAGGGCCCAGTGGCTACAGGTATGCTTCAATGCATGTAATTACATGCATAGAAACATGCGAGTACAGTTTAAATACCGTTACGAAGAATGAATTGGCCTCAAAGTGAGATGTGCAGTTTTATTTCATTTCTGTCTTATTATTTTTGTTCGTGCATTTCTTCAATTGAATCTTGCTGAAATATCGCAAGGAGGAATTGTTTCATCCTTTAAGCACCCAGATTTCTTTTTTTTCTTATAGCCACGAAGGTCACGGGAGAGTCGAACTAATAACCCCTACTCCCATAAAATAGGACGTTACTAATTGGCTTTTAAATAAACGTGATTATGTAGCATACTGGGTAGCAAATCAGTATCGCATTAAATCTTTATCTTTTTTCATCCTGTTTGTTGTCCTGAGAGTCTGGTTTCTTTGTAACATGTTGTCCTGAGAGTCCGGTTTCTTTGTAACATTAAATCTTTATCTCTTTTCCTATTTTTGTCCTGAGAGTCTGGTACATGATTGAAGTTAAATCGAATACAGCTCGTTTACAAGTGAAATGGAAGTACGAAATAATATAATACTGTTTAGTTTTTCATTTACAAAGTAGACTTTGTTACAAGCATATATACTGCACGTTTTCATTCTAAAATTAACAATATTAGGTAAACTGGAAATTTTGCACTTAAATTTTGATGAATTGTCTACGTCATGTTTTGACGAATCCTATATAGTACCTAAGTCATGTTTTGACGAATCTTATATAATACCTAAGTCATGTTTTGATGAATGATTTTGGAGAAATATTGTCGGTAATACAATATCTGAACCATTGTTAATCATGCTGACTCCATTAGCCACAGCCCTGTAACAAATATTTCAGAATAGAACTCGTGCGTTTGATTCTGTAAGTTGCAATGTAGGTCATTTTTACCAAAATATGGATTTTAACAACTCTTATTTTGACAGTATGCCATTCAGTTCCCCGAAGAACAATGAAAATTGCAATACCTATCGATATTAAAATAAGAATGACAGACAAAACAATCGGAGACAAATAAGCTAGAGTGTTATTTCAAACTGGTTTGTCGCAGAGTTCCACATTCTCCTTACTTTGCAGATGCACTGGAATAACCCAATGAAGAAAGCTGATTACACAGACAGTTCTGGAATGACTTTGTTCTACACGCCAATATTACGGCCTCACAATCTTGGAAATCTGATGACAGGAGAAAACTTCTTCCATATCCCACCAGGCGAAAATCGTTATATCGTAGAATCGCACTGCTCTTCCACGTGTTCAAATCGAATCATGAATGGGTCTGTTAACGTCGTGGCCGGACTTAATCACATGCATTACATGGGTAAGTTGATATCTTCAAATATGTGTACAGAAATGACGTTTTCAAAAATCAGCTTGTAGTTTTTTCACTCGTAATATCTTAGTCTCACTTTAATAATTTTTGAGTTCTCATTTTTAAACTTTCTCTTCACTTTTCATTTCCACAATTACACAGGTTAAATGTGACTGAAAGCGTACCGGGGGTTTGATTAAACCGTGTCTCTTTCAAAGAAACGGCGAATGTGTACACTACATCACACATTACATTAAGAACATAACATTTTCAATTTTGGTTCAAATTGATCACAAGGACAAAGTTAGATAAAGATAAGTAAAGATCAGCAATAATTTATACTGGATTTTGTCTTGTTTATTGTTTGATATCCTGACGTCAGCAGGTATTCTGAATGTAACCGAGCGTTTGTTTCACAGGTAGAGAAATGGCCACGCTGTATACCCCTGTTGGTGGTGCTGAACAGGTCATTATGCATGATCCTCACTTCAGCTATGACAACCCTGAAGTGCACACGTGAGTTTTTCATTTTGTAATTTTGGGGAATTCTCATGACGTATGTAACAGCTTTGGAATGTGTTGATTGTGTGTCTTCAGTAATTCCTTATTATTAACACTGTTCTATACAGGTTTTCGCCTCCAATAGTAATCAATCCGGGCGATGTGATCAGGACCACATGTTCCTTCACCTCATTACATAAAGACACGACAATTTTCAGCGGTGAAGCAACTTCACAGGAAATGTGTTTTGGATTTTTGTTTTACTATCCGAAGGAAGCAATTCGGTCCCGTCAGTGTACCACTTCCATGGGTTTACCTCTTTGTTCTCTTCATCATGACACGGATATGATCGATGGATGTCAAGTCGAATCTTTCATGAGAAATCAAACTTATTTTACAGAGCTATTCGGAGAGGTATGGTTATTATATTTCTTTTTTACATTAGTGTAAGGTATTTAATTAACTTTGTTAAACTTTATCAATGTAGAAACAAGAAAGGTAAAACCGATAAAGGATTGGTATATGTAGGGAATAGAACATGTTTATATATATATATATATATATATATATATATATATATGTAAATGTTGTAGATATATTTTATATATATATATATATATACAACATGTCAGAGGAACTGAAACCCCTCTATTCAAAATACGTTTTATATTTGCAGCTTTCACGACGATGTGACACTTCCTTCTGCCGTAAGGAGTGCAAAACTTACTTGAAGGAAGAGAGAAAAAATCCTTGCTTTCAGGGGAGAGTTGGAAAGTATGTCGATCGTGTCCTTGGTATTTATGTCGGTGTTAATGAAATGGCCCGCTATCATTCGTGTAGTGTCGAACTCGCCCTGGAGGAGGTCGAACCATGCACATGTACATCACCAAGACCTTGTGTGGAGTACACTGGGGCTGGGGTATCCCTTCGGATGTCGTTTGTGGTTCTTCTGCTATCTATGGCTCACACATTCTTCATGTGATTTGAAACTGTTCAGTATTTCTCGGTTGATAATACATACCGTTTGTTTATAAAACTAAACAATGAAATCCATGAATATATATATTGAGTCTGTATTGCATAATTGTACATACACGACCATATTTTATGCTTGTTTTAATGTTTTTGCGATTGTATGTTCCTTAATTAATAAAAAAGAAATATATTTATCATCATTAAGTAGGTTTTTGTATTACGCATGAAAAAATATTTCCGTTTTCAGTGTCGCATTGGATAATATAGAAATTCGTTTTTCTATCTTGTATTGGCGTTAAAACATAGATAAGCACTGTTCAAATGAATGTAAATGGTCAGATAGTGCCTGCCAGTTTTCCGTTTGACATCTAAAAGGAGCAAAAATAATTCAGAGTACCTCCTAAAAAAGGGATAACTTGTTCAAAGTTTTAGCCAGTCATTAGCAATACCAAATCACAAGCATTATCATTAGTACTGTAGTCAATCTCACAATTTTCAAACAATTTCTACATATGCTTAGATACGCAAATATGCCGTATGTTATTAAAACAGCTTGCTTTTTATTCATGCATGTTTTAGCGAAACTATAACCAAGAAAGATCGGATGAAATTGATTAACATTAAACAAGGTATCATTGATGTGATAATAACCAAATACAAAACAAATAGATACAAAGAGATTGTATATTAATATCATTTACACGGAATTGAAGCAAAGTTTAGTTTTAGAAAACTGTTTTCGCGGACGAAAAGAGTGTTTTTGTTTTGTTTATATTCTAATAATCAAACATTTTGCAAAAGAGACCCATGCTTTGTTTCAATTTTTGATATTTTGATATTTTATTTATAGACTAGTAAGCATCATTATAATCAAGTACAAAACGAAAGTAAAAGTAGAGATCTTTTAAACTAGTTGTCTAAACATTAGGGACAATTTTTCGACGTCAGCATGTTGAGATGTATGTATTTATGCCAAGTTTATAAACATGTTTTTAACGAACTCTAATTTCTTATTCCAATTTGTGTATGACCTATGCTGATAAAATTAGTATATAACATGGTTACGCCTGGTAATCAGTTTAAACACAATCATTCAATGACATGAATTAAAGGTGCATGTACATATATGTATGTATGTATTTTTTTAATTGAAAATATATTTGTCTTTTCGTAAATAATTTGACACCGAATTGGAATCACTTGTTTTATATATTACTTTACTTTTTTCAATAAAAACATCTGTTTATAACCAGCGTTTCACATTTTGTTGACTATTTTTCCATGTCGTACACATTGACCAATTTTGGGTTCGGGCTAAGTTTGTTGAAAAATGCAACAATCTTGTGGTCACGAATGTGATACAGACTACAGTGAGATATGACCAACCTCAGATAATCAGATACTTATTGGCTTCGAGTTATACATTGGATTTTAACTTTTGCTTGTCACGTGATTCTATTAGGATGAGAGAGGAACATCAGGTAAAACTGGGGTATTTATTTACATCAAAATCTACGTGTTTTGTTGGTCTGATACTCATCTATAGCCCCATGGTGTATGTATTGTTACAATAGGAGAGCATAATGTCCGTTCGGCTCAAATATGATAAGATTGCAAAAAAAAGATTTTGCTTTCCTAAAATATATTCCTATCAAATCTTATAATTAATTTCTTAGATCGGTTTCAGAAATAAGCACATAAATGTATAAATCGAGAAATGAAACACACAAAAAAATCGACGAATCAGAAAGCTGATTTTGTGTACAAACAACGTAAAATTAATTTACGTCATTAACAGCGTTCACGTGACACGATTCGCACACAATTCAGATAGCTCTCCAGGTAAAAACGTGGGTTTGAAATATTCTACATATGAGGATAATGATTTGGAGCATTGAACATTGAACATTTGGTCATTGATAAGTGCTGTGAAAATTTTGAACTTTTGCTTTCCTGAAATGAACTTTTGACAAGGTGTTTAGAAGTGAACACCGGAGTAACGGCGTGTACATGTAATGAACGTGTAATATACACGGCGCACTCATCCACGTGGATGAGCAAGGTGAGTGATTGTTCGAAGATATCCGCTCAATGTACATATGTCTGACATTCAAAACGCGAAACGATTTAAAGGCCAAGCCCCACTTCGACGACACAGTTCTCTACGGACATATCATCTGTTATTACAGACTCATTAAACCCTGTAAAGTCCATCCTAGCTACACCCGACTCATTCATATTACTAAGGCAAGGTCACACTTACAATCCAAGCTATGACTACAGCCCCAGGTTTTCCAAACAGCACAGCCACTTCTCTAGCTGCAGCTCTTGGACCTTACCTCAGTCAGTTGATCGCATCTGCAATGACACCCTTTACAACACAGATCACTTATCGAGGAAATGGCTGCTTTCCGAGGTGACGATAAATACCCGAAGTGTAAGGTAGAGCAACTTGAATCTAAGGTATTGAACCTTGAGACGACTTTAGAGAAACTAGAACAGTACGGGAGGAAAACTTCCTTACGGTTTCATGGGTTTCCACTGAAACCCGAGGAAATCCAGGTGACAAGGTGGTTGAGTTGTGTGTTAACAAATTAGACATAAATGTCACCAAGGATGCTATTAACAGATTACATGTTAAAGATAAATAATGGGAAAGTTCAAATCATTTGTCGTCTACAAAATTGGAAAATTAAAAATGAAACCTCTCCACCCAAGAGCAAGTTAAAGGGACTTGGTGACTCAAATAATATAATTGTTTAATTCAGAAGACCCGACGTCTGTTCGCCAAAAGATAGGAAAAGGTTTGGGTACTCCAGGAAAGTTTACACTTTCTACTCATACTGGACAAACGATGGACGCATAAGGCCTCGCAAGACTCCCACAAAATTCTTGTCAAATCATATAGTGACATCGCAGACTTCGTCCCTGAAATTCCGGCAACTCATAGTTAGAAGAATGACCGATCAGGAATTTTAAAAAATGAAGACAAGAAATAACTGAATACGAATAAAAACAATACTTATCATTCATCTAGAAATACACGTCAGTAAATATAAATATTTATACTTGTACTGTGTGTCATGTGCTTTCTAGATTCGCAATTTATAATTTCTATTGTTATTACTCACCGGTACATCTTAATTTATCTGTATGGTTTAGAAGTTATCTGTACAATTCGTGTATATCTGTAATATATTGAGTATATCTGATTGTTACCTGTAAGGTACCTGGACACCTGTAATGTATTGAGTATATCTGATTGTTACCTGTAAGGTACTTGGACACCTGTAATGTATTGAGTATATCTGATTGTTACCTGTAAGGTACCTGGACACCTGTAATGTATTGAGTATATCTGATTGTTACCTGTAAGGTACCTGGACACCTGTAATGTATTGAGTATATCTGATTGTTACCTGTAAGGTACCTGGACACCTGTAATGTAATGAGTAAGTCTGATTGTATGTAAGGTACCTGGACAAATGTATTGTATATCTGTAATGTATTGAGTATATCTTATTGTTACCTGTAAGGTACTTGGACACCTGTAATGTATTGAGTATATCTGATTGTTACCTGTAAGGTACCTGGACACCTGTAATGTATTGAGTATATCTTATTGTTACCTGTAAGGTACCTGGACACCTGTAATGTATTGAGTATATCTGATTGTTACCTGTAAGGTACCTGGACACCTGTAATGTATTGAGTATATCTGATTGTTACCTGTAAGGTACCTGGACACCTGTAATGTATTGAGTATATCTGATTGTTACCTGTAAGGTACCTGGACACCTGTAATGTATTGAGTATATCTGATTGTTACCTGTAAGGTACCTGGACACCTGTAATGTATTGAGTATATCTGATTGTTACCTGTAAGGTACCTGGACACCTGTAATGTATTGAGTATATCTGATTGTTACCTGTAAGGTACCTGGACACCTGTAATGTATTGAGTATATCTGATTGTTACCTGTAAGGTACCTGGACACCTGTAATGTATTGAGTATATCTGATTGTTACCTGTAAGGTACCTGGACACCTGTAATGTATTGAGTATATCTGATTGTTACCTGTAAGGTACCTGGACACCTGTAATGTATTGAGTATATCTGATTGTTACCTGTAAGGTACCTGGACACCTGTAATGTATTGAGTATATCTGATTGTTACCTGTAATGTATTGAGTATATCTGATTGTTACCTGTAATGTATTGAGTATATCTGATTGTTACCTGTAAGGTACTTGGACACCTGTAATATATTGAGTATATCTGATTGTTACCTGTAAGGTACCTGGACACCTGTAATGTATTGAGTATATCTGATTGTTACCTGTAAGGTACCTGGACACCTGTAATGTATTGAGTATATCTGTTTGTTACCTGTAATGTACCTGGACACCTGTAATGTATTGAGTATATCTGATTGTTACCTGTATGGTACCTGGACACCTGTAATGTATTGAGTATATCTGATTGTTACCTGTAAGGTACCTGGACACCTGTAATGTGTTGAGTATATCTGATTGTTACCTGTATTGAGTATATCTGGTACCTGGACACCTGTAATGTATTGAGTATATCTGATTGTTACCTGTAAGGTACCTGGACACCTGTAATGTATTGAGTATATCTGATTGTTACCTGTAAGGTACCTGGACACCTGTAATGTATTGAGTATATCTGATTGTTACCTGTAAGGTACCTGGACACCTGTAATGTATTGAGTATATCTGATTGTTACCTGTAAGGTACCTGGACACCTGTAATGTATTGAGTATATCTGATTGTTACCTGTAAGGTACCTGGACACCTGTAATGTATTGAGTATATCTGATTGTTACCTGTAAGGTACCTGGACACCTGTAATGTATTGAGTATATCTGATTGTTACCTGTAAGGTACCTGGACACCTGTAATGTATTGAGTATATCTGATTGTTACCTGTAAGGTACCTGGACACCTGTAATGTATTGAGTATATCTTATTGTTATCTGTAAGGTACCTGGACACCTG